TAAATCTCATTAGTCCTCTAATTGCGTGATCATTATCACCAAAATCCACAATTAGGGCTTGATTGCACTACACAGTTGCCTGCTATGGAGGAGGGGAGCCGCTGCCCTACTCGGAGGAGGCCGAGGGAGGAAGAGGGAGGGAGAGAGAGAGGGAGAGAGAGAGAGTGTGGGGGAGAGCAATGCGCACATGGGAGAGAAAGGGGTGTGAGCGACGGCTGGTTGAGGGAGAGGTGGAGGATGAAGATAGAGGGGGACTGCGTATATATACGTAGGGTTTGGAGTGGGATGCTAAGTGGGCCTCAGGCCTTTTAACTAAGATGGGCCTCTTAAGAGGTCCGCCTCCGAAAATAGACTATTTTTGGAGGCGGGCCTGTTAAGAAGTCCGCCTCGGTTAATGTATTAACCGAGACAGTTTCGTTAGGGCAACCACCTCGGTTAATAGGCATTAACCAAGGCAGTTCTCTTATGTCGCCCGCCTTGGTTAAGCATTAACCGAGGCGGTTGCTGGGCCGGCTGCCCCGCCACGAATAGCCGAGACGGGCAACCGGCCCAACCGCCTCTAAGGCCAATTTCAAAACGCATCTCAAAAGATTTTATGTAGTAGTGCCACTTAAAGCTTCAGAGAGGTGTGCTTGGCTATCTTCTGTTTTGCATTGTATTTCAAGGGTAACTTATTTTGGCTTGCCAAAAAAATATCATAAGATAATGGCCCTGTTCGCTTATCTTATAATCCGTCTTTTTCAGCTTGTTTTTTTAGCCAGAACAGTGTTTTTCTCTTACAACAAATCAGCTAGAACAATGTTTCGATTTGTTTTTTCAGTGAAGCGAACGGGGCCAATATGTATTGACATCGACATTCGCGGAAGATAGCATGCTAGCAGAGCAGTGCTAGAATATGGCATTGAGGTCTTAGTAGTTACTCCTGAAATCCAAAGGGTAGAGATGTTTTACCAACCGTAGGGAACCACAAGAGCCTGAAGAGGATATTTAATTTAGTTTTATGATTTATTTTTTCTAGAAGCCACCCTAGCGTTAGCACGGGCAATATACTTAACACATATAACACATATGAAATAACATATTCATCAAGTAAATATTTTATTCATTAAATATATATAAAAAATATAAATAAATCATTAGTAAAATCATATATAAAAATATGTATGGTTAGCAATTAAGTCATATAAAATAATATTTGAGAACATAATATATTTAAATATTTAAATATATTTATAACAACAGATACATAAGATTGAAACTAAAAAATATTAAATTAAACTTAATGTTTACATATGAATAGTAATACTGAAACCAATACCATTAGTCATCATAAAAATAACGTTTGATTATTTTCATCATGGGTATATTTTTCATGGTCATGGATATTGATAACGGTTAGATATCCCATATCTTTTTCTAATATGGATTTGGAATTGTATAGAAAAAGGTTATGATAACCGGATTCAGATACATCTATTTTAACATCCATACCAGAAGCACATGCTGATGCGGATATCCATATTCAAGACTGTGGTTAAGGAATTCTTTGAAAAGCTCTAACATGAGTTACCCGACTCTTATATTAGGATAGCACGCTCGTGATTGCGAGCAAACGAGATAGTTCAATAGCATGACAAAACATTTTTACATATAATTACAACTAAATTTAAATACTCTATCTATTTTAAATTATAAGTCATTACAACATTATTGAAGAGTCAAAACATCTCAAGTTTAACCAAAATGTTTTGTCACATATGGGACGGAGGGAGTATGAAGTATGGGTTATGAGCCCGGGTCACATACGGCACACAATGACGTGAGGGCATTTTGAAAAGTAAAAAAAGACAGAAGAATAAATTGTCACTCTTTAATATTAGGTACTAGCCGTCTGCGTTGTACTGTGTAATTCTTAAAAAAAAGGTATTAGCAAATGTGCCTGTGTGTTGCAACGATACTCAATACGTTTTAGAATTGGATTCCATACTATCGCTGAATGCCTGTCGTTCTAACTTGCCTGAGCACGGGTCATGAGTCTAGGTTACATATGGGACACGGAGGATGTAGTGGCATTGTATGAAGTAAAAAAGGATAGAATAAACCATTCACTCTTTAATATTAGACTAGCAAATATGTTCGTGCATTGCATAGGCCAAATATGTCTTATAACAAGACTCCTTGCCCGAGTTGTTCTAACTCTTGTATGAGCATAATTCATGAATTCAGATCATATATAGAATACCGAGGACGCGAGAGCGGTTTGGGAAGTTAAAAAGCGAGACAAAAAAACACTTCATTTTTAATGCTACTAGGTGCCGTGTGCCGCAACGAGACTAGTAGTACTTCTTGGAATCGGGTTCCATATAATTATTAAACTAAGTATTTCTAACTCATATAAACACGGATCGTGGGTCTGCATCATATACGGTCGGGATATAGAGGGCATATGGATATTTTAGGACTAGAGAAAAGCGGGTTGGAAGAAACCATTCACTCTTTGATAATATGTAGTGATAGAGATAAGGTGTGTGTGTGTATATATATATATATATATATATATATATATATTTGGTACAGATATATATGTAGAAACAGGATCAAGGCATTTAGTATATATTTGTTGTTAAGAGCATTTCCAAGGGTCTTTCTAAAACTCACTCTCTAAATCATCATTTGAAGAGCCATGTGCATAAAAATCGTTTTCTATATATTTTACTCTAAAATAATTTTTCATATCTTGTACGCACTTTAGAGTCATTCTCGCGGTCTATCTTTGGCTATCGAGAAATCTGAAATAGATGATAATTATATTTAGATAATAAATAAAAAGTTGTTGAGGGTTTCTATTATAAAATCTTTATTTTCAACCATTAGAAAGGATATAAAAATCTTGAAGCTGCTCCTCAATCCGGACGTTGACCAACGCCGCGACACAAGGCTACCACGTATCCTTACGGTTGGTACGTTGCAGAAAGCATCATTATTCTTGTCCGTAGGTACCGGAAAAGGCATCACTGTCAACCGAATAATAGTTTGTTTACAGATGCTTTGCTTCGCTGAATAAACCGAAACCACAAACGTGCACAAACTTTTCACAAACAGGACACTTTCAGTAATATATCAGGATCATGCTACTTGCGGCAGACATGTCGCCGTACGATTCCACCGTCTTAACATCGCGAATAGACCGGCACTACGCCACTACGTCGACCAACAGAGACGGAAGTATCCACTATTCCACTCCCCTTCCTGATCAAAATCCACCGGGGACGAATGTTCAACCGGGGTATGCACGTATGGTCCATCCTTGGAGACCGAGCGATGCAATGGCGGCGGGCGGGCCTGCCGGGCGACGATTTCTTTGGCGGGCTATATGGAAAGGAATGTGCTGCGAGGATAAGCAGTCCGTGTCGGATTGCGGCTTCGAGGCAGCAGCCAGCCCAGCATGATTCGACGGTCAACTGGTCAAGTGTCAACCGCTGGTGGAGATAGCATCGTCCGTTCGTGCAACTGCAGTCATTCCGCACCGCGTGCGATCCTCTCACGCCGCCCGCCAGACGGCAGGCCGCCACTAGGATCGGTCAAGTCAACGGCACGGCGGAGGATCGGAGATGAGCGACACGGAAAGCGGTGAGCGCGGCGTTCCTCCCGACGACGTGACGTGCGGTGCGCGGCCGGCGGGCCGGGGCGAAAGAAACGGCGGATTCGGTCGGACCGCTGGTGAGAATGCAGCAGCAGCCAGTTGCAGTTGGGCCAGATGCGCACTTCCGTAATCCGCACGCGGCGAAGTCCAACGAGGAGGCCGGCGGCGTCCCACCTCGTAGCGGGGCCCAAGCACAGGGAGCAGGACCTTGCATGCATCGGCGCCCCGCATCTACTGGGGGCGCGCGGGCCCAGCCCGTGCCCAACCGCCGAGAATGGCCGGGGGGGACGGCGCCACGGCGCCACCCGACGTCGCAGTCGCGCTGCCTCCCCGCGGACGCAAAGACAACGGCAAAGAGGGAAAGAGAGACAGCTGAAAGGCGCAAAGGGGCTGCCGAATGCCGATTCCTCGCAATTCTACTTGCTCTTTGCTCCTGTTGTCCTCCCGGTCTTTCTCAAGTTTCCCTTCGGCTTTCGCCACTAATTCATGTGTTACCTGGCCATTACGGGCGCGACTCGATCATGACACGACACGGGTGGCTGAAAAAAAAAAGCGACGCTAAAGAATTACATCATGCATTGTTGGCACATAAACAACTGCAGCATCGCGGGTAGTGGCTGGTGCGGGGCGATTCGAGAGCGCCGCGCGCGAGCCCACGATGACGCATGATTCTTTCCGTGCAGGCTTTCCTACCTTCCCCAAACGGGTCCTACCTGGCTGACCAAGCTAACCAGCCACCCAGCCGGTCAATTTGTCCAGCCACTCGATCAGCATGCCGGGATCCGAATTCGGAGCCTCTCCTTTACCAATTCCCTCTTCTTCTTCCTCCTCCAGTCCCCACCTTCGATTACGCCACTAGAAAATCAGTCTGTTCGTTTGTTGGTTTCAGCCAGCCCAAATCAGTCAGCCAACAGTGTTTTCCTCTCAAAAAAAAATCAGCACCAGCCAACCTAAACCAGCACCAACACCAACCAGCGAACATCACCAACCAGCAAAAAATAGCTAAACTAGTCTGCCGGTGGACGTGTCCATGTGGATTGTTTAGCATCCAGGCCAGGCCTCATCTCCCCTGCCTCTCTCTCTCTCTCTCTCTCTCTCTCTCTCCTCTTCTATCATCTTCCGCAACCCACCAACCCTGGTCGATTCAACGCGCCGCACGCCGCTCCTAGTATTCGCCGTCTCACGGTGACCTGTTCGTGGAAATTCCTCCATTTATACGTAGAGATAGGCTCAGATGACACGAGCAATTATTCGCGCCAGTGCTTCCAACGAGACAGAGGCCGCAGCAGACAGCCGAGAGCGGAATTATTAGTGGAATTAGGTGGGCAAGCACGCACGGAGCGATTGAGCTCGCGCGATGGAGAAGGGGAGCAGCGGGCTGTCCTGCCGCGCCGCCATCTGCGGCATCGTCGTGCTCCTCAGCGTCATCGCCTTCTCCTGCTCGCTCGCCGCGGAATTCCGCAAGGTCAAGGTACGGTGCCCCCTCGCCCTCCTCCGCGCTCTTCGTCTTCGTCTTGCAATTCGGCGAGAAACCCGCGTTCCCGGATCTGACTGAGGGGTTCGTTCGTTCGTCTGTCTGTCGTGTCGGTGTGCGCAGGAGAAGGACATGAAGCTGGACGGCAGCCTCTGCTCGCTGCCCAAGAGCTCTGCCTTCGAGCTGGGCGCGGCCGCCATCGCCTTCCTCTTCGTGGCGCAGCTCGTGGGCACCACGGCGGCGGTGACCACGGTGTGCGCCGGCAAGCCCAGGAAGAGCTCCGCCACCAGAGGACGCGCCGCGTTCGTCGCCCTCTTGGTCCTCTCATGGTACGTATAAAAAAAATGACCGTGGCGACGGCGGGTGAGTAATGCATACTCCTACAAATACTGCTCGCCACGTGATTCCAGCGTCAGGAGTGAGCTGAATTTCGTCGGGCGGTGTTGTTTGCGCGGATGATGCAGGCTGAGCTTCGCGGTGGCCGTGATCCTGCTGGCGACAGCGGCGAGCATGAACCACGGGCAGCGGTACGGGCGCGGGTGGATGGACGGCGACTGCTACGTGGCCCGGAGCGGCGTGTTCGGCGGCGCGGCGGGCCTGGTCGTCGTCACGGCGCTCATCACCCTCGGCCTCACCTTCGCCACCAAATCGACCGAGGGCGCGGGGGCCATGGCGACGACACCCGCATCGTCGTCATCGGCGACATGCACGAGGGCACATCTCGACGCGGCGTCGGCAGACGCGGAACAACCGGGCGGGCGATCCAAGCAATGAGGCAGGCTGGCAGGCTGGCTGGGGCGCGGCCGCGGGGGGCGGACCAACCGGAGGCGGCTGGTGAGCGGCAACGTTCGTGCCGGCCGGCCGCAAAAGGCCGCGCCGCGTGGAGCAGCTGGTGGGCTGGCTGGCGGGGCAACGCAAAGTGGCACACGGCCGCCGGACCAGACCGGTGGGGCCGTGCCGTGGGGGCGGATGGGTTATGGATATACCGCTGGTTGGTTGGATATTTAGCAGCCGCGACAGAGGTACATACATTACTGTTTACTGTCCCGTTACTGACATGTTTACTGACTCGACCGTGTAACATGTAAATGACACTAGCGGTCATTGCAAAAATGCAAACATAAATCATACGAAAAATTACCTCTTTTTCCCCCTGTGTGTTGCGTGTTTGTGTGCACGTGCACCAACTTGGTGCTAGTGGGCAACTAGGTATTGTTTCGGCTTATTCGTTCGTATCTGGCTTATAATCCGCGGCTTCAACAATGTTTTTCTCTCGTACTAAATCAGTCAGCAGTACTTTCAGCCATAACTTATAAGCCAATTCAGCCGAAACGAACAGGCTGTTGATTGGCTGACCTGGACGTTGTGCTGTGACTGGTTACAATAATAGTAGTGCATTCGAATGAATATTCTTTCATGAACCCAACAACTTCTGAAAAAGTGAGTAAGAAAAAAGGATGTTCATTTGCAAGAAGTATAATATGACATTCGTCCCCTAGATTGCAGCTAGTATGAGTAAGAATTCTTAGAGGCAGAGCATATAGAAAGTCTAACCATGACATGAATGCAGTGACTCGCAACGCGCGTAGACAGATCGCTGCAAGGGCTGTCAAGAACTTGGTCCAAAAGAATCCGTAGCATCCGTTGAAAGGAAACAGTCTCGGAAGCGAGACGGCAATCGCGAAGTCAGAATCGGAGGCGTCTGGTGTCCCAGGTCCAACGAAGCGGGCGAGCTACGCGATGCAGTAGAGTCCATGGCGAAACTACCTGTGCACTTCGTCTGGTTGTAAAGATGCATGCAACATTGCAATGATGACCTGGTTCTTTTTTTTTATCACAATGATGACCTGGTTCTGGTTGGCAACAACGACGCGATTGCATCTGAAGGGCATAACAGAGGTATGTAACGAGTAATCTACAGGTCTCAAATGAGATGATCATTGCACGTGATTCTGCAGCCCCGCTGGAAACGTGGATAAACGTGGCGGGTGGGGAGCATGTGCGTGTGCTTTGTTCCAGCCATCCAGGTTGGCTTTAGGCGTTAGCAGCAGTCAAAGGTTTGCCTGACCACACAACTCTGTGAATTTTGAGCAGAAAACAACAAGAGCCGGAGGCAACACCGGGCCAAAAAATTGCCGAAACAAGTCGCTTATCCGTGATGCACGTCCATGATTCCCACGGTGGCCCGTCCATGCCTCCAACGCGAGCCGCATGTCCGTCCTCGTTAGCGACCTGCTCGACCTCTTTGTTCTCTGATTCCCATGTGGGCTGCGGCCCAAGCTCGCCTTTGCTGTGGCGCCCACTTTTCGGGTGATCGATTCACAGAGCAAGCGAGAAACGCTGTGAAGCAAGGAAAACACTATTATGCGTGTGGATGCCTGACTGCATCACGTCACTGAACATTGGTTCATACATGTATGTTACATGATTGAAATGCAAATGCACGTTATGGTATGAACCCCATGACTAGCTGTCCATTAATATTTTTTATGAAAACGGAGATAATTGTTGGTTCTGGGAAAGCATATTTTGATGCCTTCCAAGATTAGCAAGAAATGATGTGAGCTTTTGTTTAAGTTGGATGGGGCAAGAGCATCATATTCTTTAGTAGCAACTACAAGGGGTTCCTGCATGTTTCGTCTTGTCCGTTGCCTGCATCTCCCCTTCAGCTATGAGTGTCCATGAGGTATTGATCCTTCTCTCAATTTGCATATGGATGATTGAATGGTTTAAATTAAGCCACAATGTTTGCATGGTTGCCTGCGGGTGGCTGAAGATCCACTCGAGCATGGCACCAGGTGTTTGAACAGGTATGCCGAAGATCCATCAAAGTTATGAGAGACACAACACCAATTCACCTGATGAACATATACAAGGTCACGTTTTCCCTCCCCTCCCCTTCTTGTTTTTCTAGATTGGTTAATGATCCATCACGTGCATACAAGTTCATAAAAATGATTTGAAATGGATCAGTTCTAATCCGCACTCCGTGTGTTTGATAAAATGTTTCTGAGAGTTTGGGAAATTATTTTCCACGAGTTAATGTAGACTGCAGCCAATTTTATTTGCGAATTTAACCAGGTGCATAGAAATGTATTAGTTTGCTGGTTCTTTAGGTTCTTGTAGACTGAATTTATGTGTTGGGTTATCTGTTAATCAATGACAAGGTTGGCTTGGTGGTCTCGGTGAATATTGGTGTCATATATGGACAACAGGTAAAATCAGATCTTGCCATCCGACAGTACTGTGTGGGGGTATTAACCCCTATACCCTTACGGCTAGGCTTGGGCCGGCCCGGACCAGGGGGTCTGGCCCACTAGAAGATGACGCGCGGCCCGGCCAATCTGTTCGGAGTCCCGCGCAAGGAATCAAGGCAGATTTGGAGATCAAACAAGATCCTGGTCGGTTAGAATAGGAATCCTTATTCGGCCACCTATGGCAATTGTAACTGGTTAGGATTAGTTTCCAGATCTGTAACCCTGCCCCCCAGACTATATAAGGCGGGCAGGGGACCCCTCTAAAAAATATCTCTCATTGACATACAGCAATACAATCAGACGTAGGACGTAGGTATTACGCCATCCCGGCGGCCGAACCTGGATAAAACCTCGTGTCTGTCTTGCGTCACCATCTTATTTGTAGCTTGCGCATCTGTCTGTCGATAATCTAATACCTTGGGCATACCCCTAGGTAGACTGCCGACCATATTTCGTCGACAGTGGCGCGCCAGGTAGGGGGTGTGCATACTGCTCTCCAGACGAACAAGATGGTCATCATCCCCGGTTCCATGGCTACACCGAACGGCCTCACGTTCAACATCGGCCAGATCACCTGGACCACTGGCTCCGACGACTTCATCGCCATGACCACGGAGGAGGCGCAAATTCAATCTGCGTCGACCACTGCTTCATCTGCATCGGCTATGGCTCTGACCACGGTGGATCTGGCTCCGGCCACGCCAGCATCGTCTTCAGCCACGCCGATAACCCCTCGTCCGCTTCCTCGCTACAAAGGGAGGCAGATCGACAACTCCGACCAGCTCGACTCCATCGATCGGGTCGGCACCAAACTTGCCAAAACCCTAGCTCTGGTAAGTTCGATTCAAAGTCAACCTAATGGGCAGGTAACCACTACCTACAACAGATCTACCCGACCAGCTCAGGCCAGTCGTCCTGCACGACTCAGTACGGATCTTGTGGTCACATCTACTCCTGAAGGGCGCTCCGTTCGTCGCCGGCCAGCCCCCGCGACAGGTCTCCAGATCTCCGAGTACGAAGCCTCGATGGAGAACTACCAGGCTCAGCCCTACGACCTGCGAAACTCTGCTTCCAACTATGCGTGCAATATGCAACGATCTTGGCCAAAACCACGCAACTTCGTCAACATGGTCCGGATTGAGGAGTACCAAGAAGGATCGGTCCACACAGTTTAAGAGGGTGGCTCAAAATCCCCGTCCAGCACCGCATCTAATGGCTCCATCCACACCGAGCTCCAGCATCATGACAATGAAGGCGTTGAATACGATCTGGATATCCCAGACCACGCCCCGGGGTTCCCACGATTCCCATCCTTCCCACCAAGACGAGGAGACTTGATCAATGTTGTCAGTAATGATGAACCACCGGCAGTTGGCGAAACAGAACAAGAAAGGCTGGCACGCGAAGCACGCAATATTGATCGGTTTAATCGCCGACAAGTCGAAGCCGAGGCAGAAGAGGAGGCACGACGCATACGGGTCTAGCCACGCGACCTTAACAATGCCTTTGATAGGGTGGGGGACAAGCAGGTCTTCAGGACTCCAAGCGCCAACGTAGCTGTTGCTATGGCGACAATGCAACGACTACCCAATACCCCGAAAATCCAGGCAGTTCGAGATGATATACAAGCTTACCTGACGGCTGCTATGGCCCAGACCGCAGAGATTGTGAATCAAGCCCGGGCTCCATCCATCTCAGTCGAATCAAACTACAGCCGCCAGTACTCAAGTCACTCACAGCCACCCAACCAACGTGGCTCGCGCAACAACGACCCACCAGACAACCGTCAAGGCGGAAACGGTGGTCATGATGGTGGTCGGGACGACAACCGCCGCAACTACAGGGATGACAACCGTCGAGACAACCGCGACAATCGCCGTGATAACCACGGTCGTAGGGTTAACCAGGGTGGCAATCGGGGTCGCCGTGATGGCAATAACGATCTCCGCCATTCCCTTGGAGAACGCGATCTGCGCGATCGCATTAACCAAAGAGCCAATGATCGTGCATCCCAGAAAAGCTATCGCCGTATGGAATATGATACTACCCACGGCCCTCCGAGTTTGAAGCAGTTTACTCCACACCTTCGCCAAGTCATATGGCCCAAGAACTTCAAGCTCAAAAAACTTCAGAAGTACGACGGCAAGGAGAACCCCGAATTATGGGTCATGCTCTACGAAACCGCGTGCAGATCAACCATGGCTGACGAGCACGTCATGTCTAATTACTTCCCAGTCGTCGTCGGCCATGCATGCCACCAATGGCTGGTCAGCTTGCCGGCGAACTACTTTGATTCTTGGCAAGAGCTCAAGCAAGCATTCATCGACAACTTCATTGCTACTTGCGAGCAACCCGGCAACAAATATGATCTGCAGCGGATTCGAGATCGCAAAGATGAGCCACTGCGCGAGTACGTCCGACGCTTCTCGGAGATGCGTATCAAGGTCTCGTCAATCTCCGACAACGAGGCAATCAAGGCTTTCATCACTGGTCTCCGCTTCCACAATGCCCTAAGGG